TATTAATAATATTGGAGTGACGGACTTGGTAGATAATAGAATTTTAAAGAGAAACAACCTTATTGGGATGTCTCAGCAAACCATATCAGTTTTTAGTTTATCGAATATACATGCTAACTGATCTATCATTTGTTTTCATTGTTTCGTTTTTCCTTTAATTAAGCTGTCGACATGAATATCTAACAGAATTTCTCAAAATCTAACTTTAAAATGCTTCGCTATCTCAGCAAGTCAGGCCCATATGTACAGTTTAAGAAAGTATAATTACCTCTATACTGTACTGATAGACGAACCTTATCCCATCATTCAAATAAATTCAATGACGAAGTGATAATTCATTAAAATAAACTTATTTTCGCTCTTATTATTACTATTTTTTACTTTGACTTTGTTCTCAGTGATTTTTATTTGTTTTATTTGATTTTTAGTTTAGTTTCATTTCTTTTTATTTTATTTCATTTTAGTTAATTTTATTTCAATTTCCTCTCTAATTAATTATATTAACATTTGTGTATATAAATTCGGTGTGTTTGGTGAACTATGGAGGAATTGGAGCTTAATTGGGATTAAAAAGGTTATTAAAAAAAATCCAGAATAGCTCCTTGCCACTCTGTTAGCGTACCAAAGAAGTGTCGGATCCTGTGCAGCGCACCCTAAGTCCATTTGTGTACACCCTCTTTCGGCAGTACTAGCCTGACATGCTGTCAAGCATAAAGGCATCCAATAGGAGAATTATTTTGGAAAATTTAAGCCTCCTTTATTTTACTAATTTAAATTTTTAATTTAAATTTTATTATAGTTAAAAGTTCTTATAAAAAGTCACATTTAATTTTTTTTATTATAATAAAAAATTATCAGATAAAATCACATATTAACTTGAATTAAAAACTCAAATTCAGAAATTGAACGAGACTTTAGTGTCACTTTTTAGGATTATTTTATTTAGAATTTTATTTAGGATTTGAGAAAGTATTTTTGAGGCTGTAATTTGGAGAGGAATAATATTTAGAAGAGGCAGTGTGGAGACTTGTGACACCTTCATTTAATTTTATTTTCTAATTTTTCTAATTCTTTTTTTTTGTTCTTTATTTATATCGGAACTAATATTTTGTTAGTTCGCTTACCGGATTATGAGTATTTTGATTTTTTATTTTAAATTAATTAATGTTTTATTTCCAATTATGTTGAGTGTTTCATTCCCTTCTTAATGTTTGTGATTGTCGATGAACAATTGTATGAATTGGTATTAAATTTGAGACTGAGAAGTGATAAATAAATATGCCCATGAATGTGATGTCATAGGAATTTTATAAGCTAGAGATAGTTATGAGTCTTATGTAGTGCTATGATTTCCCATTCTTAATGAGTTTTAGAATCTTGACCGAGATGCAGGATCTGCATTGTTGAAATATTATCACTCATGCTTGAGAAAGATTAATAATTAATTTAAAAAAATTCACTGTGAGCATAGGGAAGGCATATTTAATTTAAATAGGGTTATTCAGATTTGATCAATTTTGGTGAGTTGTAGACCTGGATAATTCATGTTATTATTTTATTTTATTATTTTCATTTTAACTTTGGTCATTCAAATAATTTTAGGGTTAACTAATTTTGGTACTTTATTGAATTAATGCAATTTTCGTGTGATCGACACTCTGTACTCACTCTTTATTACTTGTTTTAATATTATGCACTTGCGATTTTCCACAACACGAAGCCAAAAATTTTTGTGAGGGGGGGCTAAGTTTAACTATATAAAAAATTTATTAAAAATTAATTGTTAAGATGCTATAAATTGTTCTCAATGAAATTTGAAGTCTCAAAAATATTATTTAGGGAATAGTATTCTTAGATATATGTCCTTAAAGAGTAGTATTTTTAAAAAATTTAAAGGTTTAAAGATTAGATTTTCAATTTTTAAAGGGGCTATATCTAATTTCCTTTTATAAATATACTTATAAAACACATGGGTTAAAAACAAATTTAAAAAGTTGAGGGGACTTAAGCCCCCTAGGCCTCGTTTAACTTAGTCACTGACTATATATGCTCAAATCTGGCTCAACGAGGGTTCTCTTTGACACAAGAACAACATAAATACGTTGTATCATCAATATTCCATTTTTATAATTTTATTTACGCATTATTCTAGCTTTTGAGATGGCATGACATAAGCGCAAGATATAAATACAACAATATATACAAATATTTTCTCAACTCAAACATAACATGATTTTCAAATTGTACACATATAAGCATCGCATAATGCAAATCCATGAAACTATCTATGAGATGACACTAGCTAGACTTATCATTAATAAATAATCTTCAATATATATATATATATATATATATATATATATATATATATAACCAATTCAAACTAGCTAGTGTCATCTCATATTTTCATATTTTCGGATCTGATGTAGATCTGACTTGAAAATTGAATTTCTACGGTTGAAAATCCATGAAACCTCTATACTGTACTGATAGACGAACCTTATCCCATCATTCAAATAAATTCAAATAGAAAAAATATTAGCTGCTAACATGTAAGCATTATCAATTGCAGAATCGAATATAATCTGCATAATCTCTAATAAATCAATCAGATTATAACAAAGAAAACATAACGAGTTAATTGTAAATGAACCTAGACACATTATGAATAAGGATAAACTATCAGTATTAAAACCTGAATTTAAATGCAAAATAAGATAAACCTGAATTTAAACAAATCTCACATTTAAACACAAGTTCAAGATACCAATTCAACAATATTTAATTAATGTTTTTGATAATCAACATGCAAATAAAAAAGATGATTAAAAATCCTAACATTCTCAACTTCAAATCAGCTCAAAACTCAATTTGAGTTTATGATTTCTTTCCTTACTAGGTTAAGGGACGTGCCGTCTCGTCAGTAGCAATTTTTTTTTCTTACTTTACAATTGGCATGTTTTTTTTTTTTTTTTTTTTTTTTTAAAATTTTTAAAAATAATAAAAAATGTATTACTGCAAAAATGATAGAATCATATTCATAAAATTTTTTACAATAACATTGTAAACTTATTAGGAAGGTTTAAATTTTAACCTAAATAAAAGGATTATATGAAAATCAATAATTTCATAGTATGCATAACGATGATTGAAAAAAAAATGAAAAAAATGTACATATTTATTAATAGAAATATAGAAAAGAGTATAGAGATTCACAAGTGAAAACATTTGTAAAAGTTCAAAAAAAGTATAATAAATAAGATGTTTAAAGAGAAAATTAATGAAAAATAATGCAATAGATAAATAAAAAAAATATAGATAAATAAAAAAAATACTAGATTTAAAAAAGAAGAAATAAGAACAACAAAATACAATGAAGGAAAAAAAGTTAAAAAAAATACAATTTTTTTTTTTTAAAAAGGAATAAAACAAAAACCTTGAAAGCAAGCATGCAAGCATGTTGAAGTACAAAAACTTCAACACCTTATCCATGCTTCTTATATTAGGTAATATATTTGTAAGATAAAATTGGTTTGTACTTCAGTTTTGTACCCACTTCCTTAAGCTTTAGGTCTTTAGAAGTGGAGAAACTTTTCTCCTTTTCTCTTTATATGTTACTTTCCTCCTTTTCTTTTTCCTAAATTTTCTCACGTTTTCTTTAAACCTTAAAATAATCTAGGTTGAGTCTTATTCATAAGAAGGCAAGTATGCTTCGGTGGCAAGCTTCTAAAGGTGAACCACATAAAGTGTGGTTAAATACAGGCAACATAAAATCTTGACTATCTACACACTTTTTAATTAATCTTATCCTTTCTTGATATTTATTACCCTATTCTCTTACCACCACAAGCACTTAGAATGAGTCATCCCACCAAATGTCTATTCAATTTTCCACTTTATTTTCCCGATTACCATACCTGATGCACTTTCTTCTCATAGGTGGTCTTTTCTTATCATGCTTTAAAATGATTTATATGATTCCTCTTATAATTGTGACAAAACTTGGAATATTTTGGGATTTTATTTGCATAAAGAAGAGAAAATTTCATAAATCTCATTAATCTAGGATTGGCTAACGGACGTCCCAATATCAATAGAGAACCCATGGCTTTCACAACTTAGGTACCTTCAAGTATACTAGTTGTAGTTTAAGGACGGAGAGACAAAATAACAATTTTATTTTAAAACTTTTTAAAAATGAATAGTAAGTTTATTTAAAGTAAATAACACTAATAAATAAATTATTTATATTATTTACTCTAATAAATAATTTATTTGCTAAGAATAAACAATTTATTTATTACTATGGATAGTTTATCAGTAAATATGCGTTTTTACTTTAATATATTTTAAAACATATTATTTACTTCAAACGGGTTTCAAAATGACGCTATTAATACACTGCAATTTCTGTCGATAGTTTACGTTTTGGTATCATGTTGTTTTAATTATTTTATATGAGCAGTTAGATCCATAAGTGTTATATTACAAATAGATATATTTAGAAATTCTTTTAGAAGAATTGGAGAATTTTTTGTTCGCTGGACCCTTAGATTTTCTTCGTTTTTTTTTCAACAGAAAACAAATATTTTAAATTAATTAATTGTGAAAATTAAACCATACCCTGATTCGGGTACATTTTTCTGCATGACCTAGCTAGGCATGGTTTTTTAAATTTTTTTGGAAATGAAATTCACCAGGCATTTTTTTTTTCAGGGTAATAACCACGCATTATACGAGTTCACTACATAGTTAGGATTACGTGCGGCATTCTTTTTTAAAAGAAGCAATGCCATAGTTTAGTAAACATATATATGTAATATTGTTGCATTTTTTTTTATTGAAAAGTAATATTGTGCATTTCTATATTGTGGTTTTACTTTATAATTAATTGGTTTCTTCACACTCTTCTTCCAAGGAAATAATAATTTGGATTCTCAAAAAAAAAAAAAAAAATTAAAAAGACAAAAGGAATAATAATTTAGCCAAACATCATAAAATTGACAAATATTCCGGACCTCAAGGCACACGATCCTCAACAATGATTAAAAATAGAAATTAGAATGCAATATCCAAATTCAAATACAAAAGCACACTGATTTTATCTCGACTTTCGTCTAGACAACACTCAAAGAGAAACAAATTCAATAACACAATTACACAGGTCGAACATAAAAGAAAATACAAATTATTGATAGAACACACGGTAAATATGGCGTGACTTATTTAATTATATCAAGCTAAGCTTATTTCATTATTTATTAGCACTTGATGGATTTAAGACGATGCAGTTGAAAATAACTACGCAGTGGCTTTGGCATTGGCCAGTCGGAGCCTCCTTTCGTCAGAAAGTAGCTTCGCAAATCTGTTAAAATAGAAGGGTAAGAAAGTCTTTCAGTAAAACAATTAATAAAAATAAAAATAAAAATAAAACTAAGTAATTTAAAAGTTGATTAATTTTTATAGTATATATAGTGTGACCGAAAATATATATGTGTAACCTTTTGAGTTCTTCCTGGTTGGAGGGACCATTTGGAATGGGTTCGTAGAGACCCGTGGCCAAGTTGATGCGAGTAACAGTTTTCTTGAGCAGCTTCTTGCCCGATTCCACAAGATTGTTCAAGTTCTTTGTGGTAGCTATGTCCACAGAAGCAAGATCTCCTTGTAGTGTGTCATCCTAATTTATATTTTTTATAGATTTCAAATTTAGTAACACCAAGAACATGGTGATTTAATCAGTAAAATTTGTCACCAATAGTACTAAGAGTAAAATTTAAAATGTTTTTCCATTGACTAAATGACATAGTTGTTCTTTTCAAATAAGTGCAATCAATGGAAAAATGTAATCATGTATGCCAAATCGTGTTTCAAATGACAAACAAATATAGTCTAAATTTTAATTAGGTGGTAAATTGACTTTTTATGGTGCACTTTTCATAAACTTATATTATAGCACTAACTCTTTTGACGACATGTTTCTTGTGAAGTATGACATAAATAATGCTTTGTATAGTCACTTTTAAGTGTAACATTCAAAAAATGAAGTTTAACGCCTGTAACATTGAGTATTATTAAATTTAAAATATTTTTAAAAGTAAAGAAACTTACATCGATTCTGAAATAGTTACTTTCACATCCCGCGGCATCGAAAAATACACAGTTGTAGTAATTAACCGTGTCCACACTTGATTCCGAGAATGCATCAATGATAGGAGACGAACCATTATAGTAAATCCAGGAGATAGGCCCCCAAGAGGCAGACAATTTTGCATTGTATTTCTGTTGAGTCTTGTTTGAACCCGTTCCAAGTGAGATCACCAAAACTTTAGTGTAGTCCACTGGCCCAGGCTTGAAATCTGGGTTCTTTTTAGTAACTTGTTTGGTGACTTCGCTCAGAGCAATAAAAGACTGAAAAAAAAGAAGAAAATCACGCAGAAATTAAAGGTCACATAACATATATAAGAGCTTGTTTGGTAGAAGAGTTTGAATCCTGGTTCAAACGGTTCTGCTACAGTATTTTTTTTTTCAAATTTTAATTTAAATTATCTAATTTGAATCCATAAATCAAACAAGCCTTAAAATGTTATTTCATATATTATTTTGTACCACAAGAATGACATATGTAAAGATTTCTTGTTTCTACCGGATTATTAGCAGTAACACCACCATCGATGAGGTTGAACTGGTGCGTTTTTCCACTCTTGTCTTGGTTTGTGAAATAATGAGAAGGAAGGTATGTCGGCGCTGCCGAGGTGGCTATACTGATGTCCGACAAATGAGCATCTAATGCTGAGGCTGTTGGGGCCTACACAAATGAGAAAATTGCCCTTTTATAATTAACATTTAAAATAGGATTACTCTAACTATGGTGAATATTATTCCAGTAAAAAGAATGCTAAACAGAAAACTCGTGTGTGTATATATATATATATATATATATTGTATACTTACAATGAAAGAGGAAAATAGTGTAGGCTCCAGCTTCTTGATGTCGAAAGTAGGAATAACAATGTTTGTCAAGGTCTCATGCAACCTTGTAGTTCCCAATAGACCATTGATTAGGCTGTGAAGATACTTTCCGTTGTATTTCGGTCCAACAGCATT